ACAACAAATTCTCCCAAGTGATCTGAGTTACATGGACCTAGTGTTACGATAACGGAGTTATGCCCCCTTATCATTATATGTGTATGACCTCTGTCGCCGCTTTTGACGCCATAGAAGAAAATCCATTTTTGACATTTATTGCGAAGTAATTTTAATGTTGAGCTTATAACGCTATGCACAAGCACATAAACCCAATTCATATACACTTATGTCGCTCAGATATCAAGCTGTATTTTCTTCGCTAACACTTTCCTCGTAAAGATGCCACATTAAAAATTCTCAGAGCACAGTGCTTTTATCGGTGCGCCATAAAAAGCGGATAAAATTACTGTTTTTTAACGCATAAAAAAAAATTGGACAACATTTAGCAGTGTCTATTTCTCAAACCGCCGAGGTAGTTGCACTTATATTTATACCAACGGATAGGAAATTTAATATTCTACATTTCTGTGTAATTTTATAGCCGTACGTAGATCCAGGACCACGCCAGCGCAATTCTCGCACAACGTTCACTTTTCAAACCGTATGAAAATGTGCGCCTGAAAAAAAACTCGGCAGCCAGGGGGTTAATGCAGAATACAAAATATATGTAATGTCAAAGCACCAGTCACGAAGAGGTTTAAATAAATAGTGAATAATGTATTTGTTCTTGAACACCCACTAAACCCAATTCCAGCATATCTGAGTGAGTGAGTGAATGAGTTCGGTTTTATGCCGCTTTTAGCAATGTTCCAGCAATATCACGGCGGGGAACACCAGAAATGGGCTTCACACATTGTACCCATGTGGGGAATCGAACCTGGGCCTTCGGCGTGACGAGCGAACGCTTTAACCACTAGGCTACCCCACCGCCCCCCAGCATATCTGAAGTAAACCTAGTGATTCATGTTATGAATGAGTGAGTGAGTGAGTTTAGTTTTACGCCACACTCAGCAATATTCCAGCTATATGGCGGCAGTTTGTAAATAATCGTGTCTGGGACCACACAATCCAGTGATCAACAGCATGAGCACCGATCTGTGCCATTGGGAACCGATGACATGTGTCAACCAAGTCAGCGAGCCTGACCCTCCAATCCCGTTAATCGCCTCTTACAACAAGCATGGGTTACTGAAGATCAATTATAACCTTCACCTTCACGGGTAGATTGATGTTATGAGCAACATAGGCAGTGGAGTGAGTGAGTGAGTGAGTTGGATTTTATGACGTTTTTAGCAATATTCGAGGAATATCATGGCAGGGGACACCAGAAATGGGCTTCACACATTGTACCCTAGTCTGTCATACAGACCCTGAAGCAAATATATCCAAGAAAGCCCACGCAAGTCTAGAAAATGTGTCAAGTCTAGATTTCCTCAGCTTCAGGAAGAAAGTCTCAGGGCTCCTTTTCATTATATTATATTTTCTTTTACTATGAACATTTTTCAGTAAAATATGTTCATTTCAGAGACTAGTTGATAGTCTAATTGTACCCATGTGGGGTATCGAACCCGGGTTATAGGTAGTGGAGTAGCCAAGTGGTTATAAAGTTCCCTGTCATTCAAGTCCCTGGTTCAGTTTTGTTGTTGCTGGGATGCTGCTGAAAGCAGGAACGCCTCTGACTGAACAATCAGAATGAGTAGCTACAAACTTTATGGTGAAGAGGGTGAGTGAGTGAGTGTGGATTTACGCCGCTTTTAGCAATATTCCAGCAATATCACGGTGGGAGGCACCAGAAATGGGCTTCACACATTGTACCCATGTGGGGAATCGAACCCGGATCTTCGGCTTGATGAGCAAATGTTTCAACCACTAGACTACCCCGCCGCCCCTTATCAAGAAATGCTTTATAATGACAACAAGAAGCCAACAAAGTCAGGTTGAAAATCACCTTTCATGTCCATAAATGACACCACCTGTGAAGATCAGGGCTAGAATTGATCTTCAGTAAGCCATGCTTGTCATAAGAGACGACTAACGGGATCGGGTGGTCAGACTCCCTGACTTGGTTGACTCATCGTAGATCAATGCTCATGCTGTTGATCACTGGTTTGTTTGGTCCAGACTTGATTAAATACAGGCAGCCGCCATATAGCTGGAATATTGCTGAGTGCGGCATTAAACAACAATCAACCAACCATAAATGACACTTGAAACTTTGTTCTTAAAGCATGTAGGGCATTTGCAAGTCGCAAAGTCAAAAGCGTATGTCAATAACGGGGATGATTCCTTCAAGACAAACAGACTGACAAGCATCATATCCTACACTTGTATGGAAACTCTGCATGGTTCTTGTAGAGCCATTTCCTGCTTCCTAAACTACCTCCAGCTCCACCTGAGATGAAGTATGGACGCTGTGTAAACAGCGACTCCAGCATCCGGACCACAACAACATCGACAGACAGCGGACATCTGGGGCACCGTCAGTCCTAGTCTGGATTAGTCAGTATAAACAATATTTTACCAAAAAACAGATGGTTTTACACAAGGTGGGGGATTTTCATAGCACAGGTGAATACTGTTCCAGATACTGACACCAGATGGATATGGAACACGACACAGGTGTCAGACGAATATCCAGACTCGGTACCATGTGAATAGCAAAAGACTAAGAAACTGTGCGAAAAGCCAGACTCAGGTGCCATGTGAATACAGCCCAAGACTCAAGCACCTGGTGAATACAGCCCGAGACTCAAGCACCTGGTGAATACAGTCCAGGACTCAAGCACCTGGTGAATAGTCCAAGATAAGATCAGGAATTGTGTGAAAAGTCAGGGTGAATAATTACATGTATATCAGAGGAGAGATCAACACTCACAACAGAACGTTTGCTAGTTCATCTTCATCATCATCATCATCATCAATATCATCATCATCATCATCATCATTAATATCAAGACTGTTCTAGTTGTACACACCTGGTAGCAATCACATGGCCCTAACATTCCTGTTAAAACAACCCCCCTGAGGTCAATCCCAGGTCAACCGCTGAACCAGTCAGAGATGGTGACTGTTATTATGTCCTGTCGTAGTTATCATCACAGCCGCCAACATTTATTTACCTCTACCACTCAAACATGACCCAATTATGTCAAACACCCATCAGAACATGTTGTTTATTTATGAAACAAACAAGTCTGTCTCCTCTGACAGCTATGATATAGTCCATCCAGCACTTGATGAATCGGTTGTGCAAATATACTGGTGTTTCTGTCAGATGCTGTTCAGTAAGACTGCGCCAAAATACCTATGTGACACACTCTCCCAGCACAATTCTGTGAGAACAGCATAAGATTATTAAGATCAGCATATCTTGATCTTCTGGAGATACAAAACCGCCATCTGAAGTCATCTGGCTACTGCTCATTCAGCTATGCAGCTCCTTCGCTCTGAAACTCTCTTCCCAACCCTAGACAACTCTCATTGAAAGACATTTCATTTCCGAAAATACTATCACTGCTAGATTTCCTTGTTCCTACTTGTTGTAAATACTGTGTCTATACTCATCAAAATGTTTGGATTTTCCAGCAAGACAACGACCCAAAACATCCTTCAAAGCATTCACAGGCCTGGTTTCAAAGCATTCACAGGCCTGGTTTCGGGCCCAAAATATGACATTATTAGATTGGCCAAGCTATAGCCCTGACTGAAATCCAATAGAAACTGTTTGGGGGCTTATGAAGGAAAGTGTCAATAAGAAAAATCTGACAAATATTGCTGAAATGAAAGAAGAGGTGGTCCGATATTGGGACAGCATGGACCACGACTTTCTAACTGCTTTGATCAGTAATATGCCCCGCCGCATTGAAGCCTGCATTGCTGCCCATGGTGACTTGACAAAATGCTGTTTACCTGTGTTTGAATCTAGAGTTATGTACTGCTAATATTCACATTTAATACGTGAGTAATGAGTGAAAAAATTAAAAATTACAATCTTAAATTCTCAATAATTTCTGGTTGTACTGTACTTACTACCTGGAGTATTTTAGTGCTTTATAAACTCACTCATCATCAGCAGCAGCAGTAAGGGTACTGACCCTGATTTCAATACTTTCCAGTGTTTTAATGCTGCATTCATGTTTCTTTTAAGCAACATGTGTGTGTCTGCTAGTGTTGGGAATTGGTTGAAATATCACAATTGATGATTGCTTCATTACCAACATACAATCATTGAAAAAAATTGGTTAGCGTCATTTTTCAGATTATCCTATCCAGGCCGTTAGTGCAGATATGTATAACATGATGCAACTTGCTACTTTAAAGTGATGTTGATATATCATGAACATAAACTTCCTGGAGTCTTCAAAAAATATATTCAGTCATGGCTTTTCAGTTAGCGAAGTGAGTTTTCTAAGAATTAAACACGTTTTCATGCCCTGACAACTACTACAATATGTTCCATTGTCAAGTATTTCAAAGACTAAAACAGTAGTTCCAAAATCGTTTATGTTCGATTATGAGAAAATGTGATGATTGCTTGGTCGTTTGGTCACTGCGACCAATCTTCGATTATTTCAATTAATCGGAACACCACTAGTGTCTACATGTACTAGTTTTGCCTAATGTAGCTGCTTGATTATACTGCCAGCCACCAAGATACCATGCCTCAGATGGACATGGATAGGGGACGGTGAGGTAGCCTAGTGGTTAAAGCGTCCGTTCCTCATGCCAAAGACTCGGGTTCAATTCCCCACATGGGTACAATGTGTGAAGCCCATTTCTGGTGTCCCCAGCTGTGATATTGCTGGAAACCGCTTTATACCAATTCTCCAACAACATCACAGTAGGGGACACCATAAACAGGCTTCACATGTGGGGAATCGAACCTGGGTCTTCAGCGTGACGAGCGATCGCTTTAACCACGAGACTACCCAACTGCCTTATACAATGGTGACCGCCACACTGCATAAAAACCTCCATCAAAGCCAAAAACATTTTAAGCAATACTTTAACAATACAATATCATACAACATCGTGTCATCAGAGTAAGATATTTTGTCACATGCAATCAGTGGACTGACCTTGTGCTAGTCTTGTTGTTTTCTCTACAGGTTCTCCATCGACAGAGCACTGCCTAGCAAGAGGTGTCAACGTTATGACGCCATTATGGTTGTCAAGGTAACAGTGGTCCGCCTCCACCCCTGTACCCTCTATCACAATGTCTTGTGGAATGTCTGCAAATATTGTTCCGATTTTGGTCCGCCCTTAAAAACAGAAAACGTAAAATAAGCAAATTGTGAAAAATACCCTTTCAATGTTAAATGTGGGATTAAAAATGATTTGAGTAGAGGGAGTTATCCAGTCAGTATAGAAAACCAAGCCAAACTGTAATTCAATGGGTTAAAATACAATACATTGGGTTAAACTGCAATACAATTGAGATAAACTGCAACAGGCTTAAACTCAAGATAAAATACAATACAAAATCGTAAAACTGCAATACAACCGGAAGAGTGAGTGAGTGAGTTTAGTTTTACACCGCACTCAGCAATGAGCCAACTACATGGCGACAGTCTGTAAATAATCGATTCTGGACCAGACAATCAAGTGATCAACAGCATGAGCATCGATCTGCGCAATTGGGATACGACAAGTCAACCAAGTCAGTGAGACTGACCACCCGATCCTGTTAGTCGCCTCTTACAACAAGCATGGGTTACTGAAGATCAATTCTAACCGGGATCTTCATGGGTTACAACTGAAGAAATCGAGATACAACGAGGTAAAACTGCAATACAGTTGGATGAAGACAGGTAAGATAAGCAATGTTACCACTGTTCACATGGCAATTTGCTGTAACCTTTTCAAGTCACCATTTTACCCCATAAAATTGAAAAATTTAAATAGTCTCTTTTAGCCCCCACAAATCTGTCCTTATAGTAATTTTGCGGTTTTTAAACTTCTCAGTAATTAGAAAGTGGTTTAATATCACACAAAACAGTCAATCAACAGGCACGTTGCAACATCGATCGATTTCCGGATTGAATTTTGGCGCTCCACATCCAACACATTCCTAATAGGGGCGCTTATTAAATATGTCAAAAACAGTACTTGGTTCTTGGATTTATCACCTGAAGCAAGGATACATACCTTCATGCACAGGGTGTATAGTGACCGCAGTGGACAATCGCTTCACTTCCCACACTGACCAGATGTGGCTCCTCCGCGAACCTTGACGGCATTGTGACTCTCTGTCTGTCACGGCAACATCCTGGGGACAAAAACTACATTACAGACAGCAGCTCACCTTCAGTCTCAAGGGAAATAGTACCTGTGTTAATATCTCTTCAGTTTCAAGGGAAATAGTACCTGTGTTAACATCTCATCAGTTTTAAGGGAAGTAGTACCTGTGTTCATATCTCATCAGTTTCAAGGGAAACAGTACCTTTGTTAATATCTCATTAGTTTCAAGGGAAATAGCACCTGTGTTTATATCTCATCAGTTTCAAGGGAAATAGTACCAGTGTTAATATCTCTTCAGATTCAAGGGAAATAGTACCTGTAGTGATATCTCATCGGTTTCAAGGGAAGTAGTACCTGTATTGATATCTCATTGGTTTCAAGGGAAATAGTAACTGCGTTGATATCTCATCATTTTCAAGAGAAATAGTACCTGTGTTGATATCTCATCAGTTTCAAGGGAAATAGCACCTGTGTTTATATGTCATCAGTTTCAAGGGAAATAGTACCAGTGTTAATATCTCTTCAGATTCAAGGGAAATAGTACCTGTAGTGATATCTCATCATTTTCAAGGGAAGTAGTACCTGTGTTAATATCTCATCAGTTTAAAGGAAATAAATAGTGATACCTGTGTTATCATGTCAAGTCACCTTCTTAATAAGTCATCAGTTTCACATAGTAATTTATATCTTATGTCATCAGTTTTAACAGAATTATTTCATCAGTTTTAAGATATATCTTCTTCTGACCAATACATCAAAAGTTACGCTTATTGGGTGAGTTTTAACATTATCAGGAACAAATTACATGTATTGTTAGTAATTATTAGTAAACTTACCTCTGGATTATGGTTGCCTTATTCCTGTGGATTCCACAGACACATACAGAATGGAAATGAAAATGTTAACTAAGTCATAGCTATCCCTAGTGGTATGCTTAAAAGAGTTATGCAGTTATCTCCCTTAGCTGTTACATCACAACATAGTTGTTGTAAACCTCTCATGATTTTTCTGAAGAAAACTGACATCTTCTGCATCTCCTCGTGGGGAGGTTGGCTCGGGCATTAGATCCCATAATCCAGAGGTAAGTTTACTGATAATTACTAACAATACATGTAATTGTTCCTAATTATAGGCGTAAACATTCCCTCTGGATTATGGTTGCCAGAATCACACATTAGGAAGGAGGGTTTATGCAGATGATGAATACAGCAATATCACTAATTATCCCATTATAGTCTATGACATAACAATTAGAACAAGCATTGTCACTAAGGTGACATAATCCCCCGCCACAAATTATCAAATCAAACTTATAAAGTAATGAAAGTTTAAGATGAAGTTAAATGTCAACAAAACAATTATCTTGCTCTTGTTCAAACACACACATATTTTCAAGACTGACTTTGACCTTGACATGAATGTCATAGTGTATGAAATATGCAAAACTAGTACTAAAGAAATTGCTTATTGAAAAACATTCAAGGGAGGTCTTGAAAGTCTATGAAGAAAATCCAGTGAACCGTTCTTAAAATATCTTGCTGACAATTCAGGTTAACATTCTGAAATATTCATAGTGTCATCGTGACCCTACAAATTATGTGAAGGTCACCAAAATTGACTGGGCCCTGGACCTTCCCTAGATGAAGCTTGGTGTCAAATATGAAGAAAATCCAGTGAATATATTTTGCGATATCTTGCTGACTATCTTAAGCAATTTAACAAGCTGAAATCTTCAAAGTGTCTCTGTGACCTTGAAACTTAAGTAAAGGTCACCAAAATCGACTGGGCCCTGCACCTTCCCTGGATGAAGCTTGGTGTCAAATATGAAGAAACTCCAGTGAACGGTTCTTGAGGTATCTCGCTGACAAGCATAACATGTAGTTTAATATGCTGAAATCTTCAAAGTGTCTCTGTGACCTTGAAAATTAAATGAAGGTCACCAAAATTGATTGGGCCCTGCGCCTTCCCGGGATAAAGTTTGGTATTGAATATGAAGAAAATCCAGTGAACGGTTCTTGAGATAGCTTAACATGCAGGTAAAACATGAAAGTCCCCTTGTGACCTTGAAATGAAGGTCAAGGTCACCAAACCTGACTTGGTCCTTTCTTATAGCGTGATGAACACAGGTCCCTATGAAAAGAATCTAGTGAACGGTTCTTAATATATTCCAATTCATACGTACGTACGGACAGACGGAACCTAATACTATATCCCCCGCTTCGCGCTATCCGCGCGGCGGGGGATAATAACTATGACTTAGGTGATGAAATGTAATATATATGGATTACCTAGATCATTCCCTGGATATTCCAGTATTCAATTACCTAAAGGGAAGGATCATACTCGTGAGGGAGCAATATTTGGTGTTTGGAGAAGACTGTGACGTCACTTCCGGTCCAAGACGTCATATCCGGTTCTGTAATAGTCTATTTGACTGATTCTCATTTTAACAGGTTTCTGTGACATCTCTTCCTGTTTGATGACATCACTTCCTGTTTGATGACGTCACTTCCGGTTCATGACGTCACTTCCGGTAAGTGATTTCAAGTCTTCTCGTAGATTACTTAACTGGAGTAATAAACTGCAGCGGATATAATAATTCCACTTACTGATGATAAATATTAGTAGATAAGGTTCTTCAAAGATCCTCATCCTTCCGTTTACTGATAACCTGTTTCCTCCCTCACAGTCCAAAATAGTGAACCACTGCTGAGTTTGGATATATCTGCACACTCCCCCCTTCTTTTTCCCCCTCAAGGGAAAACAGGTGGAGGAGAGGCGCTGCACTGCCACTAGAGGTTCCATTGTCTGTAGGCTCTGGAAGGATGGAGTGACGTTTTGCAAAAGCAAATTGGTGTAGGGATTAGATATGTTCCACCGGAATCCAGCAACAATCTGATCTATTGAAATGGACCCCCAAGCTGCAAGTGACGACAGTCAGGCCCTGGTCTCATGTACGTTACCTCCGATCAAATGACCAGTGTCTTTTGACAATTCCTGTGACTAGGACAAAAACATATGGTGACAGGTCACTCGAGACGACTGGCCCTCATCTCTGGAACAATCTTCCATCTCACCTCAGAACACAACCAGATTTAGCTGTTTTAAATCAAATCTAAAGACGTGTCTCTTTGCTGAAGCACTTGAACTCTATGTGATATCTAGACCATCTTAGAGCCAAAGCGCCTTTGAGCGGTTTACGGATATTGGCGCTATACAAGTATTTGTATGTATGTATGTATGTATGTATAATGAACCTGCTTCTAATAAACTGTTTTTTTCCTGTCCCTGAACCACATTATTTTTCCTTCCACCCATCCCTCCCTGCATGCTAAAGCCGTAAATGAAGCAAGTCCAGATATCCTCAGATTCCTCAGCATCTCTCACCTCGCTCCTTTTCAATTTAGAACGTTTTGTTTCCATCAGGATTATAGATATTCGTAAGCGTTAGTCTAATCCAGGATAGCTAATGCTAGTCAATGTCATAACATCCAGAAGGTGCTTAGATCCAATTTGTCGGTGAATATACACAGACCTACCAAAGAAAACTTTCCCACTGTGCAAAAAAACGCAGAAAAGCCCACATCAATCGTGGAAATAGCAACATGAACATAATACCTTGCTACTTAAACAGTATAAACGGCATTTTTAAATTGCTGAAACTGCATAAAAATATGAAGAGCCTGCAACTTCGATTTTGTGCATGCGCTCATGGAAGAGGAAGTTTCGACCGCATGTTGACATTTTCCAGCCTGGACAAAAGTTACATTCCCTTTTTAAGTATTTCTGTTGTGTTATTTGGCATTTATCATCATGATACTTGTGTGCACACTTTTTTAGTTTACGTTCCATTCGTATGAAATGATTGACAGCAATTATTTCGACATATTTAATACTTTTTCTATGCCAGGCGATTCACGGCTGCTCGGAAAATTGAAAGAAGTGTGGATCGTAATGCGCATCCGCAGTAGAGATCAAAGTTCGCTGATATAAAAATGTTGCAGTTGCATAGCTTTTCGTTGCCGTTTTTACTGTTTCAGTAGCGAAGTATATGTTTATTTTGCTATTTCCATGATTGATGTGGGCTTTTCTGCGTTTTTCTGCACAGTAGAAAAGTTTTCTTTGGTAGGCCTGATGTGGCAAGTCTAGATTTCTGTAGTTCCATTCACAAGCAGGTAATTATCAGTTAATCTCTAACTGCCTGAACTGTTTAGTATCAGCACATGGCCAGCCTTCCTACCACCCTCAAGACCCAGACAGATCCCCGACCTGCTCACACTGAGCCATGACCTCTCGCTTAGGCAACATGTGTGATTACTAGCGGTGGGTATAGAAGAGAATTTTCATATTGCAATATATTGCGATGCAAAAGCGTATATTGCGATATGTATTGCAATATACTGCAAGACGTTTTTTTCAACAAAAAACTACTTATAATCGAGTTAATGCTTGATTTATAAAGCAAAAACACAACAAAATCACTATGCTTGATTAAGATTTAATAAAAGCTTTTAATCATGACAAAAAACAAATGTAAATAATATTTGGCACAAATAAAAAAAGGAAAGGAACAACTTAAAAAACGGAAATATCCGAAGATTTCCGAGTGTTACTAAGTTTTCCGAATGCATGTCAAAATACTGGTTTCCGATTAACGTATCGCAATACGTATCGTTTTCATGTCTGAACCGGTAAATACCGGTAAACCGGTTATATTGCGCATCACTAGTGATTACATTGCAAGGTGACATACAACATTACTGTATTTTCTTCGGTTGATACATATTTACTCTGGTAGGAATCAGGGCTGTTTTCTAGAAGCTTAATATTGCTGGGTTTAATGAATAGTAACATGGCAGTGGGGGACGTTGGTGTAGCAAGACTGACTGACTGATTGATTGACTGACTGACTGACTGACTTATTGATTGATTGATTGATTGATTGATTGACTGACTTATTGATTGATTGATTGATTGACTGATTGACTCACTGATTAATTGACTGACTGACTGATTGATTGATTGATTGATTGACTGACTGATTGATTGATTGACTGATTAACTGATTGATTGGCTGACTGATTGACTGATTGATTGATGGACTGACTGACTGACTGACTGACAGATTGACTGATTGATTGATGAACTGATTGACTGATTGATTGATGGACTGACTGACTGACAGATTGACTGATTGATTGATTGACTGATTGATTGATGAACTGATTGACTGATTGATTGATGGACTGACTGACTGACAGATTGACTGATTGATTGATTGACTGATTGATTGACTGATTGATTGATGAACTGATTGATTGATGAACTGATTGATTGACTGATTGATTGACTGATTGATTGATGAACTGATTGATTGATGAACTGATTGATTGACTGATTGATTGATTGATTGATGAACTGATTGATGAACTGATTGATTGACTGATTGATTGATGAACTGATTGATTGATTGATTGATTGATTGATTGATTGATGAACTGATTGATTGACTGATTGATAGGTCTGCAGGTTTGTTTAGTCTCTGAATGTATCCCTCATTTTAGTAAGATAATTTAATAATGTCTGTCTTTCTGTAAAATATGTTCATTTCAGAGACTATGTTTACCAATTTCAAAGACAGTATTACCTCTGCTAATATCTTTTTTGCTCAAGGAAAGTATCACCTGTATTAATATGTTATTAGTTTTAAAGAGAATGTTACTTGTGCAAATATCGAATTTGTTCAAGACAAGTATCATCTGTGTTAATATATAATCAGTTGTAAGGAAAATATTACCTGTGCTAATATCTTATTAGTTTTCAGGGAAGTATTACAGTTGATATGGTTATGGTTTGCGTTGACGTCATTGTGAAGTTTGACGTTGGACATGTTGGCGCCGATTGAGACAGGAATGTTGACTTCATTGACTACATCGTTGTTGGCTGCAGTGCAGCTTCACACTACCTGAAACAGCAAAAGTGAGTGAGTGAGTGAGTGAACAGTATATCATCTGAATCGCGTCATCGTAAAATAGGGCTAAGCTCAACACAGTGACTTGCATAATTGGTTTCATGGCACCAACCTACTGTCAGCCATTGATGATTGGTTTGTTACCAATGAGCAATCATAAAAAAAATGGGTTAGCGTCATTTTTCAGATTTTCCTACTCAGGTTGTTATTGCAGATAAGTAAAATGTAGTTCTTTGGTTTTTTTTTGTTATATTTAGAAAATGCGCAAATTGCATTTGCAAACTTCACATCGAATGTAAAATGATGCAACTTGCAACTTTAAAGTGATGGCTAATATATCATGGACATAAACTTCAGTCATGAGTTTCAGTCCGTGAAGTGAGTTTTCTAAAAATTATACATATTTTCAGAACCTGACAACTTCTAAGATATGTTTCATCGTCAAAATTTCCAAACACTAAAATAGTACGTCCAAAATCGAAATGTGATCGATTGCTTGGTCGTTTGGTCACTGCGGCCAATTTTCGCTTATTTCATTTAGATCACCACAAGAGGACACCCACTCCGACACAGTAGACAACTCCAAGCTGACCAGTCCTGACTGACTGACTGTGTTTGGTTTAATGCCACTTTTAGCAATATTCCAGCCATATCACTGCAGGGAACACCAGAAAAGGGCTTCACACATTGTACCCTTGTGGGGATTCGAACCCGGGTCTTTGGCGTGACGAGCTCAACGCTTTAACCACTAGGCTACCCCACCGCCCCCTGACCGGTCCTGGCTTGTACCACACTCGACAAAACCATATACCACAGATCTGAGACACTCATACAGGAAAACAATGACTGATACCATATGACGTTTTTCGGAATTATGGTCCAGGGATTCAACCACCAACCTTCATCCCTTGAGGGAGATGCTTAATCTTCTACACCATTGGCAATGGGGTTTAAAATGAGACTGACATGATGCTCAAAAATATGGTCGTCTAGTGGAATGTTTCACTGCTTCACAGCAAGGAAGGTGTATGGCTTGAAAATTGCTAAAGAGTGAGTGAGTGAGTTAGAATTTAACGTCACCTCGGCAATATTTCAGCCATATCGTGACGAGAAATGTTTTACATAAATAATATATTAAAGTTGCTAAATAATCAGTCAGCGAAGGACTGTAAAATAACTAGAGTATCACAGATGGAGTCTAAAACTAGCATGAACATGTAAAACTATTTCATTTACGAAGACAATACAATATAAGAACAGGCTATAGATCGCCAACAACTTAAGGTAGATCACCATACTAGGAACCATGGGGACTTACATTACTTTTTCTACCTGCATGGACCCTAGCTGGATTTACACCATCCCTTCAGCTGTTGGCTATTGTAGGAAAATTTAGCCACAAATTCAAATGACAAGAATACTACGTTTAAAAACACAGGACGTGAAAATTTGAAAATTGCTAAAGAGTGTATATATAAGTGTTGTGAATTGGTTAAAATCTTATAATTGATAAGTTGGTTAGCGGTTAGTTGGTTATTTATCAAATTGTCCTGGTTATGTTTGTTAATGTACACAAAATAAAGAAAAAAAACCATGTATTTTTTTCGGTTGTTTTGGCAAATTTCATGTCTTTAAAGGATGACTAATATGTTAGGAACATAAATTTCCTGGAGTCTTCAAGATAAATTTTAATCATGACTTGGAACGAGCTTGTAGTGCTTATGAAAGGCAACAAACAAAACCAACCTTGTGATAAATATTGTCAATGCAAAGAAGTGTTCCAAAATTGTTTGTGTTCGATTATGACAAAATGTGACCGATTGCTTGGTCGTTTAGTCATTACGACCAGTCTTCGATTATTACAATCAACTGGACCACCACTAGTATATATGTGTAATTTAGTAAAGGTATGGAACAAGATTGGTGAAAACCTGAATGTAACATTTGAGACGCTGCAAGGACTTACATACATTTGTCCTGACAATCAATTATTAAGACATACTAAACTGCTTCAGGTGATTTAACCTTTGGTACATAGCTACCACCAAGATATTTATCATCATTCTCATCATTCATATATAGATGAATGTCATTCACATTCTCATCATTCATATATAGATGAATGTCATTCACATTCTCTTCAGTCATATCATCCGTATCAGCATCATTCATATCATCATATCATCATCATCATAATCGTCATCATTCTCGTCTTCAATATCCTCACCATACACATCATCATTAATATTTATCATATCAACATCACCAACATCTTCACCAACATCATCATCAACTTCACCACCACAACATCACCATCATCATCATCATTCTCATATGATCTTCAATATCCTCATCATTCACATCATCATTAATATTAATCATATCAACAACATCAACGTCTTCATCAACATCTTCATCATCATTTGCATCACCAATATCACCAACATCATCATCATCATCATCATCATCATCATCATCATCATCATCATCATCATCATCCCCACTTTGTGAGGTATGTCAATGTGGTACAGGTTATCTAAATCAAACTGTCTGTGAAACCGAACTTACATAACAATGACAAACTAAGGGTCAAACCCACAAGAAACAGTACCACAAGTCACTAGCACATCCTTCCAACACCAAGGGAAGCAACTCTGACAGGCTACATGTGACATATCAGCAGCCCACAAAAGCAATTTCATGATTCACCCCAGTTAAGACAAGAAATAATTAGTAGTGACTGTGAGAATATATGGCAGCAAGTGATTCATGCCGAGGAATGCTGCCTACACAGAGTCCTGAGAACAGCCCACAGCCTCTACGACTATATACACATCCTCCACTGACTATATACAAGGCGATCCCTTGACTCACATCACACGCAGGAAGATGATCTATAACAGCCATTCCAAACTTTTACACACAACCTATCAATAACTTCCTGTATTCAACTTGTCACTCACAAGTATAAGTCTCTTCTAATTCCGTAACTTTGCCACGATAAATGTCACAATACAAATTAATTCCCCGAAAACAGACAAATTTCTCACCCCATCCAGGCAAAACACAAGCAGGCCGAAGCTGGACAAATATTGTCGCTCACAACAAGACAACTTACTGCAAACATCAGCAGTAAAGTCAACATTCTATCGTAGCGTGTCCACGAAAAGTAACTCTTCTCTTTCAAGAGGTACACAAAGATGCTACAGTCCGACCACCAAAGTATGAAACTATCAAATCATGTTCAGGGCCATTGTTTAGAAGTAGCAGCCCTGAACATGAATATACGTTATCAAGTCGAGCTTCTGTATGGACACTTAGATGTTATTAGGTAATACAGGTGAACAACAATAAAAGTTCATAGTCAGGGCTCCAAATTGTTTTAACTAGCCCTGAACATGTATGTTATCATCTTAGGTTGGTTGTGCTGTAGAATTGCTTTGAAGAAGACATTTCCACTGCAGTTATTTGTGAGTAAAATCAAGATAACTTGTAACCTGAGCAGCAAACAGATAACAGACCCGTATCCAGGGCCGATTTGTCAGTTTTACTTATAGCTGCATACTGAAATCTGAATCCTTATACATATACATGATGAGGGCCTGACTGTGTGTATTACATGCCCAAACCATGCATGCGGTGTTCGGCAGATCTTGAAATTTGAATCCTCATAAATACACATGGTGAGGGCCAGACTGTCTTGTGTTGATGCCCTGAATGAGTATGTATATCTATAGGAGCCACTGTTTTCATTTCCAAAATTGCTCAATCTGAGATGAAGTACATTGTAGTCAGGTAGATATCTGTAACATACCAAGATAATGGATGTGACTCAGACCTAAAAATTACTAAAACCTGAGCCAGTGCGAGTATGCTTTTACCTCGCTTTTAGCAATATTCCAGCAATATCATGGCAGGGGACACAAGAGTGAGTGAGTGAGTTTAGCTTAAGATATGTTTCATCGTCAAGAGTTCCAAACACTAAAATAGTAGTTCCAAAATCGAAATGTGATCGATTCCCTTAGTCATTTGGTCACTGCGGCCAATCTTCGATTATTTCAATCAGAACACCACAAGAGGACACCCACTCCGACACAGTAGATAACTCCAAGCTGACCGGTCCTGACTGACTGTGTGAGTTTGGTTTTGCGCCGCTTTTAGCAATATTCCAGCAATATCACGGCGGGGAACACCAGAAATGGGCTTCACATATTGTACCCATGCGGGGAATCGAACCCGGGTCTTCGGCATGACGAGTGAATGCTTTAACCACTGGGCTACCCCACCGCCCCAGGGGACACAAGAAACTGGCTTCATACATTGTGCCCATGTGGGGAATCGAACCGGTCTTTGGAGTGACAAGCCGACGCTTTAACTGACTGACTGACTGAGTTTAGTTTTTACGCCGCTTTTAGCAATATCCCAGCAACATCATGGCGGGGGACACCAGAAATGGGCTTTACACATTGTGCCCTTGTGGGGAATCGAACCCGGGTCTTTGGAGTGACAAGCAGACGCTTTAACCACAAAGCTACTGCTGCCCCTTTTTATAAAAAGCAAACAGGGAAGGGTTGTTATTGAGATAACACGGATACATCTGTGTATCAATACAACAATTAGAGGCAATTATATGGCAGTGTTTGTTCCATGCCCCTCTTCAACAGGGGACTCTCACATCGGCCAAAACGACGAGGATAAGAGGGCTGAAATTCGGGGTCGGTATGTGGTAGGATATGAAAACTGCCATCAAGTATCCTTTTTAGAACACACCGTAACATCACAAGTTGGTGTGTGGTATGATATAAAAGCTGAGATCTAATATCGTTTTCAAACAACAACATCAAAATGTCAACTGGATCATTTCCAAAGCCAATGCAATAAATTTCACCTTGCTCAGCAGACGAGCAGACAAGCAGACGACACCAAAAGTAGCATGAGTCTAATTTGTCACAATGTTGGATGAAATCGTTAGACAATTTAATTGAACTGAAAAG